CACCCTGCATTATCAGATTGTCATGCAGGATTTAAAAGCTGGTTGCTACCAAGAACATGTCTACTCCAAGGCAAGGCCAGCTGTCCCACCAGGAGACCCTTCTCTATGCTCGTAGCTTTTGCTGTAGAGCACTCTCGAGGCAACCTTCCATCTGTTTCTCTGCCTCATACACAACGTGCTCTCTTAAGAACAGCCATGCTTGCGAGCGATGTGGTGTGCTCACCCAAGAACACCTTTAATACACTCCTGTCTTTGTCTTGTGGTGAAAAGGCCAATTTAGAGTCTCCTCTGAGCACGTGGCAGGCCTGTTCACAAGTCTCTGACCTCAGAGCTAGTGGCATGGCGGGGGTCAAGCCTGCTGTTCATTCAGGTCAGGCACCGGCTTTCCAATTTTAACAGATGGCCCAAACCACCAAACAGTCAGCACCACTAGGCTAGCATCTGATACTGGTGGTACTGTAACCAAGAGAATGGCTGAAGTGGTGTACTCCCGTTTTGGGGAACAAGCAAAGGAACAACCCCCCAGTTAAACCAAAACTATTCACGACTTACTTGATCCGAGTCAAGTGTGACACGCAGACCTAGCTTAGTCATTCCATCTTCTTTCAACAACTTAAGATGAGGACAGAGAGCTAAACAGAAAGCCTTTGCCACATTTTCAGTCAATCTGCTGTGATCGGCTGGGTCACTCAGACCGTTATGTTGCTCATCATTTTCCAGGAAAAACACCTGAAGGAAAGAGTTAACACTAGACATAACACTTGGCTTTTCTTGAAGAGAAGGTTACTCAGATACCATTTAAACTTTTTACAAATGAAGACTTAAAGAACATCTGCTCAGGGAAGACCAGCAGAAGACCCTAAAGACAAACCACCTTGGGGGGGGAAAAGTAAAACTTCAAAAGAAAGATTTAAATAGTCACATCTTCAAAACCCTTTCAGTTCTGGTCAAAAGCCTCATTATGAAAATTCACTATGTACTGCACATAGTTTTTAATAAAAAACTGCTTTTAAATAGAAGTTAATTTCAGAAAATTCACATTTTTAGTAGATGCCATCCCAGCCCGAAGATGTGTACTCTCGTTGTCACTAAAGTTGTCTCTGTTGAGCCCAACTGCCCTGGCCAATAAAGGCTACCCTGAGGTGGCAAGCTGTAGAGCGAGTAACTTGGTTCCTCCTGGGAAAGGTAAGTGAAACACTTGAAGAAATCTTTTACCGCTCGCGTTTGCGTGCTGGTGGTCACAGCTGACATCAGCTACGAGCAGCTTCTTAAAGGAGCGGATACAGCAAGTGATTTATGTCACAGCACCTTCGTTTTAACTTGCAACATTTTAGAGCAGGTGGCTCACAAATAACATTTTTTTAAAAAATCATTACTAAGATTTGTCTCTGTTTAAAAAGGTAGTTTTTAACACAAATGCAGAT